CGATTCGGTCAAATTCCGACGAATCTTTGCTCAGAACATCCTTGTCTTTCTTCCTAATCTTACGTCCCTTTTCAGATCTGACGAAACATGCCTGATCTGACTCGTCGGAATCTCCTGATCTAATTCGCTTCTCCTTCCTTTTCTCCATACGTTCACTCTCCCCACCGGCGACAAAGAAGCGACCACCGGAGTTTATCGTCGATCGTTATCTCACCGATCTATCGCCGTCTCTGCTTGGGAACATAATACGGCCTTTTGCGAAATAAATAAGTGACGTGGCAACAATGCACAACAAGGTGGTGTGTAAAACATGTGTGATCGGGATGGTCATTACTTCGTGATCCGTTATTAACATTTTCATTTCTTTACTAAAACTTTCTTTAATTATACCAACCAAACACGTTGCTTTAGTAGATTAACAAATTTTCTTACCAAAATAACAAAATTTAACAAAGATAGTAGCTGCTGCTTCGGATGAAGAGACAAAATGGTTGATACTTAGATCAAAGTTTGCAAATTACTCAAATATGGGCCATAAACTGGGCCTTGTTATCATATTATTTGAATTACGTATTTTAATTACTTTACGACATTGGGTAATCACAGAGGTTCCATGGTGATTGGACTCTGAATCATTTGAAGTCGAGAAAAGTAGTGATGTTTTCTGGAAATCGTTAGCCGTTAACTAGTTATCGGTTAGGCGAAACGCGCCGATTCGAAGATACAGAGGCCTAAGCTAAGTGGTCACATGGTTGTAGTAGTGAACGAACACACTTGGTGACTTGTCTTGATTGCGGAAAGCTAATGAGTACTTATGATTGGTTTCAGGAAGCCATTTTGTTCTACTTTATATGACTTTACTTTTACCATCGACTTGTAGATTGCGGTCAGGTCAGGCTGGTTTTGGGGTTTTACGAGCATTGGATAAGCTTTAAAGAACAAACCTTGTCTTTTGTTAGCATCACTGCATCGCGGACTTTTGCATTATACCTTTCGCCTCTCTTATGGCTGAGCTCGCAGCCTGCAGCACCATTTTCTTAAGCTACAATGCAGTGACAAGAGAAGTAAGCAGAGGGTGGTTAAGATAAGCCGAAACTAGACTCTTTTTCGTTATAATGAGATATTCAAAGTACCTCTAGTTTATCTTCGTTGAATCTGTAGCCTTTTGGTAATTTCCGGAACTCTTGTTTTAGCCTAAGGCATTCCTCTACGCTTTCAGGAGCAACAAAATCTAGTGCCACCTTTATGCAAGACTGGAAACAGTTTGAATTTTAGAATCACTAATATTTCAGATGCCTAAATGTTGAACTTTTTGCTTTTTTGCGGAGAAAAGAAACAGGAGAATGAGTAAAGACGGTTGATCCGGAAGAAACAAGGTTTAAGAGGTTGCTAACCTGTCTATTCCTCACTTGGTGAGGACAACCAGCAGGTACGAAAACAGCTTCGCCGAGGTGTTGCTCAAAGGTCCATGGTTCTATATCTGCATATGAAAAAACATATATCGACTATTCGCCGTAGCAAAGAAGATATCTAAGCTTGTAGAGCTGCACAGGTTTTAGTACAGACAGAATCTTACCATATTCTTCCTTCAGTTGTTTCTTCTGCCTTTCACTCAAGAAGAAAGCCTGGTCATGAATTGGGTGAATAACCTGAAATAAAACAGGACAACAAATTCCAGATTTCACACGCATCAGTGATTAATTCATAATATGAATCATTTACAAGAGAAGAGATGTATGTATGTGATGATAAATACAGATTTCACAGGTTGGTTATTGATGTGACGAAACTCCTGGTTGTGCCTTTTCAAATACTCAATAAGTTTCAGAACATCCTCTCTTCGAAAGATGTCCCAGACAGCACCACCTAGCACATCATTTGACCTCTCATTGGCATTGCCATCAGATTCTTTTGGAACATCCGGTTTCTGCTCTTGTATGGATTTCACACTTGTCCTCTCAACAGGTTGTTGGGGATAATCCTCTTTTTCCCACGGGGGAGTTGAAGGAAGTGTTGGCATCATTAGTCCATTCTCCACCGAGGGATCATCTTCTCTTTGGTATTTTGGAGATAATCTCTCTGCCTTCACACATATGTCATTATGAATCTTGTGAGCAATTGAAGGAAGGGCTGACATTGTTAGTCCATTCTCCACCGAGGGATTATATTCTCTTTGGTGTTTTGGAGATAATCTCTCTGTCTTCAAACAGATGTCATGATATTTCTCATCAGCAATTGATTCGTTTATCGACGTTACATTCTTCTGAGGAGTTAAACCCGCATCCGCCTTTGGATCATGAACTGACTCCATAGTATCAGATATTTCAATGTTAGTACAGTCACCTGAAATTTAGGCCATCTTTAGTAATATCTCTACAATACATAATTTTGGAGGGAGCTACTTGCATTACCTTTCGAAGCAGATATATTATCAACTTCTTGTGAGGCCAACGGTCTCAAACTGTTATTTGATTGTTCTTCGTCAGCTGCCTTGTTATTTAAACCCTGTTCTCCTAAAGTACCATTGCCTTTCTTTAAAGCTTCAACATTCTCTATGTGGTTAATCAAGATGATGTTATCTTCATCCACTCCTTTCAGTGACTTGTTTTCAAGTTCACCATATAAAGCTTCTGTCGGTAGACCACTGTACTGTTTACGCAACTTGGCTTCTGCATATCTTTTCCGTTCTACTTCCATCATTTGGCATTGCTGGGGAGATATTTCCACCTTAGCTGTGTGTGTCAGCACATTGACCTAACTCAAAAGTAAAAGGGAAACAACAGAAAGCTCAGTTTCAGTATGCGACTCTAAAATCAGAGTAAGATCACCTCAGAAAGTCAAATCCATTGCTTATCTAGATTTATGTCTATCAAGAATAAAGAAATTGTGAGAAAGCATTGATGCACGTACCACGTCAGACATGTCAAAATGTAGCTTTGTCACTGAATCTCCTCTAACAAGCTCTTCAGGGAAACCGTATGCAATGTATGTCTTGGGTCTGAGATCTGGCTTCAAGGAATTTTCTGGAACTCTTGTTGCGAGATTTAGGAGACCAGACTTTGGATCAGTGTAATCAAAGAAAGGCAATGAGCAATAAACTCAGCATTATGCCTTGGAAGGCGCTCTTCAAATGAACTTGATGGAGGCCAATCCTTCAATTTCAACATTTCTGGCCAACCATTCAAATGCATGCGGCCTTCTAAGTAGCCTTTATAAAACTGAAGCGTATTTACTTCAACCTACACAAAAATGGGAAGGGAATGAGTATACTTCTAAGGAAACAAACACATGAGTATTAAAACAGATAGAATAGGTTTGACAGACCTCACACCAGTCCCAGCAATCCAAAGCTCTCACAACTTTTGTCTCTTCTTTACATCCAACCTTTGGATCAATTTCCCTACAAGCCCTCCACATAACCATTGGTTCCCAACTTAGTCCAGATGTCTTCTCGAGAACATTTCTGACTATCACAGTTTCCGCCCTCATCCAATGCGACTGAAAATGAGCAATATCGTCTTCAGCCAGATCAACAGCATTTGGGGAGTATAAGAAATTGTCATGAGCATTTTTCCCAAACGCTGCCTGCCTTCTTGTGGAATCAGAATTGGTTATGCATGAGGAACATGCATGAGCAATATCCACATCTGGTGGTCTAAACTGCCGAGTAACTTCCTCTGCATTCGTTATCAATTGTTCAACCCAATCACTTTTGCATAAGCGTCTCAACTCCAGTGTTGAAGTACCACAACCACCACATTCTTTTGGAGGGCATGGAATGCTGCTGTCTGAATTAAGTTTCCAATTAGAGATATCCAGTGGAACATAGGTTTTCGAATCTTGATCGTGGCAGCCCTCTCTTAGTTCATTGCAGCAAGCGAGACATATATCGCATGAACAATCCGGGTTCAGACAGCTTCTGTGAAAATTGGCAATGGATGCGCGGCAGAGGTCACTGTCTCACAAGGATGAAGAATTTGTATATACACTGTAAAAAGTTATAGGAAAAATTCATTAAATAGAGGATGCCATCAACCAAGAAGCAAAGAAAAAGGAAAGGAGCTCTCCTAGCATTGAACTTTACCAGTATATGCGTTCACTTGGGTTAAGTTTGCACCTAGTAATATCAGATTCTTTCACACGGACTCCTATAATAAAACAGGTTCCTGAGTGGAAAACAGAGACAAAGAAGAAATGAGAGAATAGCACAAGTGAAGACCAAGTGACCATACCTCTAGTTGTTGTTTCAATCTCTAGTTCACGGTTCTGCTCTGTACAAATTTCCCTAAGAACTGGAAGAACTTTAACTAATAGGTATTGGAACTGCTTGAACTTGACATTCGCATCTTTTTCACTTCGAAGCTGAAATTCGTTTAAAATTAGAATGAAATGAGACACTTCAGCTATAAATAGATTCATATGAAAACAGTGATCTCAAGGCCCCTTACTTTCAAGACCTTAGGCTGACGCAAACAAGCTATGCAATTGCAATATCCCACACAGAATGGACAGGAAGCTCTAACTTCCTCACTCGTTCTTTCTGGATACCTATATGTGATTAGAAAATAGCGTAAATCATAATGTGCAACCGCAATCATGAACTAGTATAACGTAATACTAATGTGCATATATACTTACCATTTCTTGATGCAGTAATTGCAATAGCGTTTCTTGTTACATTTTGAACAGAAGATAAGATCACTCTTACTCTTTAAGTTCTTACAGTGATGACACGTCAAACCCGCAAGCTTTCTTGTTCCATCAGACTTATCCTGGAAGAAACAGTGATCGAATCGAACCATATCTTTCATTACATTTCCTCTTTCAGTTCAAAGCAATACAAACTGAATTTGAAGTGAAGAATGTTAATAATTCTACAGAATCGTGAACATTCAATTTCAGGTAATACTCACACAAGAAGTTCAATTTCCATGATCCTTGAAAGATAGACCATACTCAGTTCAGAAATCATGCTCTTTAAGGTATTTTATACATGCAGAAGCAAAATGAAGCAGTTTCAGATAGTACATTAACCATCTCGGACGTAGACGTGTCTCTTTGAATAGTTCCTCTGCTCACAACATCCTTCTCCTTCTTCCTCCTCTTACGTCCCTTGTCAGATTTCCGGTAATCTGACTCGCCGGAATCCCCTGACCTAACTCGCTTCTCCGATCTTTTCTCCATA